CTCTGTTGCTGCTCCCAGACTTTGGAACTCCTTCCCACAGGAGGCCAGCCTGGCCCCATCTTTGCTGTTCTTTCACAAGCAGGTGAAGACAAGCAAGCTTTCCCTCAATGACTGGCTACCTGAGTATGATTTTTAGATGGATTTTTATGCATTACTGCTTTGACTGGGTTTTTAGTACTACCTGTGTTTTCCATTTCTTGGTATGGTTTTTGTTTGTTTCTTTTCAATATTTGCACATTTATTGTTTTTAGCCTTAATATGATCTTTTAATGATGTAAGCTTCCTCTTAATACTCATTGTTCTTAACTTTAAATATTACAATAACTACAAACTTTAAATAATGATGTACACCATCTTGGTATACCCATTGCTTTCAGCTTTAAATATTGTCTTTCAACGATATAAGCCACCTCGGGTCCTTTTTTAAGGAGATAAGAGGGGTAAGAATATTTTAAATAAATAAATAAATAAATTCTATATAATAATCCTAAAAGCCAGCTTTAAATACCATCTATAAAGCTCATTTTCTTTCTCATAAAAATAAAAAAGCCGAATTTCTGAGATATTATGAATGTTCCAGGTTCTCAGTAACTGTGAGTAACTATTCTCAGGAACTGTGAATAGGATATTATTTCTGAAAGCAGTGAAAAGCCAGAATACCAATCAATTTTTGTCCTCTGGATGAAGGCCAGGATGGTTTCTATGATGCTGATAGCAAGCAGTGTATAGAGAGTTTGGAAAGTAACTTTTAAGAAAGAATTACTTCCAGTTATAATACTGAGTTCCAAGAAAAATTAGTTCAGTATCATTATTTATAGCTGAAAAGTACAGCCGTAAAACCATAGTCTCACAACCAAAAACTACTCCACAAGTGAAGTTGTATCCTTCTTAAGTTCAACTGTATTGTAGTTATATTTGCAGCACTGGAATGCAGTTTTGCTTTAGATGTTTACAACAGGAATTAATTACAAGAAACTAATTTTCTGTAACTAATCACTTCCTTATTCTGGATGTATGCAAAACTTATCACTTTGGGAATTGAGTCCTATGGGATCTAGAACCAGAAAACAGACCAGAGCAGAGCTTGGCTGGGAAACAGGAATCTGAGTAAGAATGAGTTTGGGAAACAAGATAGACTTGTCTGCCCTCCAAGTGTTAACCGGGCATGACTCTTGCAGCCAAATTCAGACAAGATCCAGTGTGCCATGGAGATGTGTAATCTTTTCTCTAGGTTATCTAATCCATATTGCCCTTCGAGGTACCTGTAAGAATGAAACCCCCATGATGTGAACATGCTGCAATAATCTAACAATTCAAGGTCTTCCTTAATCAATCTTTTGTATGTTTTATATGTAAATGACTTCACATTAATTTGGAATTTTGAAGTTTAAATTAGAATTTCAAAGGGCTTTTTCCCCCCAATTCAAACTATTGGTATTAGATAAACAGTACGATCAGTTCCTATATTACACCCGTTTCACATTCAGGTGAAACAAATCCCAAGGAATTTTTGTCCTTTCTACTAATGTCCATATAAAGATGTTTCTACTTGTTTCACTTACGGAGGAGGTATTCAGAGCTGTCATGATCATAGTCATTGTCTTCAGGAAAGTGGTTGATTCGGAAACAGTGTCCTTTATATATCCCTGGACAAGAAAAAAACACACAAAAAACACCAATTGAACAGATTGAAGGATGCTTAGGAAAAACCTCTCCTGACCCCACAATCCCTTTACATTCATAGAAATGATGAGGATTTGCTTGGCAATTCTTCAATTTTTAGAAGAGTGGGGGGGGGAGTCAGTCAAGTCAAAGGCTAAACAAAATACTGCCTATGAGGCATTATTACTACTGCAGGTATGGCATAGGGACATAAATCTTTGTTTATGTCCCTACTCCATACAGTTACCCCGCACCCCTTTGTGCTAGTGAGAATGAAAATACAGGAGTTGTTTTCTCCTTGCTGGATGAAACTGTAGAGTTTTGAGCAACTCTCTGCATTTTGAGACCTCTTATGGAAAAATCTGGGGGAGTTGTTCGCACAAAAAACAAAGTTTTTAATAAAAGGTGGGTTCCCTCCCCCTACATTAAATCTCTCCCTCTCCCTCCCTCCCTCCCTCCCTCCCTCTCCCCCTCTCTCAGAAACACTTTCCCACTAAATCTGTGGTTGCCAGGAAAAGAACCCTTCTTTTCACTCTCCTTCAGGTGTGGAAAATTTCCCAGCACGGCCATTTTTTCATTGGGTATGATTAAAAACATGTGTGTTCACTACATCCTTAGGATGGCGAGTGAGTAATCATCCAGGCATTCTCAAAATTCAACTCCAGTCTTCTCTCACCATTGTCTATCCTAGCTAAGGCTGTTAGAGCTGCACTTTAGCCACACTGATGTTGAATTACGGTACCCCTCCATGCTGCTGTGCTGAGTACTTACTGGTTATCTTTTCCAGCATGATTAGTTTCATCTTTTAAAAAAATCCATTGGTCACAATGGCATGCTCAATGAGTCCCCATACAAGATTAGAGAGGCAAACTGGCATATCTCTTACATAGATTGTCATATTTTTTGTGACAAATCTTCCACGCCACAAGTAAGAGATAAAAAAAACTTCAAAGTAGTCCCAGCAGGTGCCCTTTGAATGAAAGCAATTACACATCTTTCATCAGCATTCCCTCTCACTTCCCCAATTTCCCTCCCAGTGGCTTTCTTTGAAATTTCTCCCGTCTCCTCCTATGGTTCCCACTAAGCTGTTGATTCTTCTTGACCCTTTATCACAGTCATCAGGTTGGATGGTGCAGACACTGAGAACGTTGTAGCATGCCTTGCTGTCTGTAGGAAGAAAAGCACTTCTAAACTATGAATAAATACAGTGGTGCCTCGCTAGACAGTTACCCCGCATGACAGTTTTTTCGCTAGACATTGACTTTTTGCAACTGCTATAGCAATTCGCAAAACAGTGATTCCTACGGGGGAATTTCGCTGGACAATGTTTGGTCCCTGCTTCACAAACCGATTTTCGCTAGACGACAATTTTGACAGCTCCCTCCGCACTCGCAAAACAGGTGTCTTTGGGACCTAAGCATCGCAAGACAGCGATTTAAACAGCTGGTCTGTGGTTCGCAAAGCGGTTTTCCTATGGCCGATCTTCGCTAGACAACGACGATTCTTCCCCATTGGAACGCATTAAACAGGTTTCAATGCATTCCAATGGGGAAATACTTTTCACTAGACAATGATTTTGCTAAACGGCGATTTCAGTGGAACGGATTATCATCGTCTAGTGAGGCACCACTGGAAACGACAGAAATGGACCTAGGACAAGAAAGCTGAAATGGTGGGCCCATTTGATCCATTTTTACGCCCCTCTTCGTGTCCACTGATACGTCCCATGCCTGACTGCAAGGGTGTGGTTGGGAGGGTGCTTTCATTTCCCAGGGGTTGTCTACTGGATATGAAAATAACACGGAGTCCATCCGGCAAACTGAGACCTCCAGCAGAATATGTTTCAGGGGAAAGCATTCCATAGTTGACTCAGCATAGTCCAGAAGAACTGATGGCAGCAACTTAAGGCTGAGATGGGAAACATGAGTCACTGCAAACAGTAGTCTGTGGTCCAAAAATACATTTACTAACAGGTTCTTAGGCAGTGAAACGGGGGTGGGGACCCTCAGGCCCTAGAGGTGAGAGTTCCCATTTGGGTTTCCCCTGATGATGGCCACATCCCCTTCCCCATGACACCAGTGCTTGGTGCTTTCCCAGCTTTTGTATGGATTTTACACCTGTTTTAGAAAACTAAAATCCTTCTCTTTAGCTTTGACCCCCTTTGCCTTTGGCCCTGCCCACCACTGGAATGCAGCCCTCGGTAACTTTTCTGAAATTGAATCCAACCCCTGGGAAGGAAAGAAAGTTCTTTACGCTTGCTCTAAAATAAACCGGCAGGAAATCTGGGCAGGCACAGAGGCTCAGGAGAAACAGGATGAGGATTACCACGGCTATCCCCCAGAATCTATCATGCGCTCTTCAGTCGCTATTTGGGTTTCGTACATAATATGGAACATCCAGGTGTGAAATACCTTATCTTTTAGAAATTCTGAAAACACGTTTTAAGGTGCAAATCCAGAATTCCAGTTCATCCTGTTTCCGTGTGTCAACTGCTTCTTCAGCAGACTTCAAGCTGCAACAATGCCCAGCTTTTCTTCAAAGTGAGCTATTTTATACATGTGTGTGTGCGCTTCGGGTTTTCAGCCCCAGCTTAAGAAACCTTGAACTCAATCACAGCTCTGACTGCCTTAGAAAGATTCTAGGCACACACGGACAGGATATAACTGTGGATTTACTTTACTGCTAGTAATAATAGTTTGCAAGGCGCTAATAATCCAGGGGATTTCCAAATTCCTTTGTGGGCTTGCTAAAAGCTGTCTGTGACTGACATGCAGCTACTCTTTAACAGTGGTGCTGCCAGGGATTATTCACTGGAGCTGTGCTTCTTGAACACAATGCTTAGCAAATATGACCAACCAACAGTGGACCCTCTACTTACGGAATTAATCCGTATTGGAATGGTGGCTGCAAGTCGAAAAGTCTGTAGGTCGAATCTCCATTGACCTACAATGCATTGAAAACCAATTAATCCCATAACTGGCAGTTTTTATTCTATTTTTGTTCCATTTTGGTTTTTTTCTGGTCCGTAAGTCAATTCTCCGGCTGCAAGTCGAATCTAAATTTTGTGGTCAGAGAAGTCTGTAACTCGAAAAGTCTGTAAGTCGAGCCGTCTGTAAGTCAAGGGTCCACTGTAACATCACAGCCACTGTGGAAAAGACAGTTCAGCACAGAAGGCCATTAACTGTAGCAAGGGTAGCACATGCAAAGGTGAGGGTCATATCTAAGGATAGATTTCTTTGGAAAGATGCTCCATCTCCCCTAGCTGGTGGAAGACATGTTTGCCATAGCATATGATTCTCCTCAACTCCCTATTCCACATTTAGCCTGCTTTGTTTGGGTATAGCAGGGGAAAGTAACATATACTTAGTTTGCTAGTTTGACTGCTGAGGAGCTACTGTTTCAATAGCAGCAGTCAAAAGCTGCTTAACCCCACAATACTTCTCCCATAAGTGACTATGGCATTTGAGAAGTTCCAGTCCAAAGAAACATTTTTTGCACTCTCTCTTTCCAGGATGTGGCAGGATCTAAAGTCATGATCTCCACTTGTGCTGCTGGGTGTCAGTTATTTTTTATTTTATTTTATTTATTTATTTATTTATATTTTTATCCCATCCAACTAGTAGCAAGGCCATTACTCTGGGTGGCAAAGAGGTTGGAAGAACACAATGTAAACAGTGAGACTGATAATAAAATTCACATGAAACAACATGCAGAAAACATAACTTCTAAAAATAAAATAACCACAGGGTACAGTAACAATAGGCAGTGGAACAAGGTAAGTTCACAGGCACAAAAAGGAAAAACTAAGTACTCAAGTTAATTTGGGTAAGACCATAACAGGCTTGTGAAAATAGCTGGGTTTTAATTTGTCTCTTAAAATCAAGGAGAGATGGGGCCAGTCCCACCTCTGATGGGCGTTCCAGATTACATATGGATATTTCACCTTTAGGGATAAAGAGAAGTCTGTCCTCTAAAGTGCTGCTAGTCTTGTTGATCTGAGGTTCTCTGTTTGTCTTTGGCTTCTTCTCCACTTTGTTTTGCTTAGTTTAAATATCAAACCAGTTTGAATCCTATTGACGTTTATGTAAGCTTTACACAATTTGCCGTGGCTAACTGTGGCTGATTAACAAGATGCTGAAGATCATTGAATGTGTGGCCAGGAATGCAACTGAGTTGTGTTCCCAGCGCAATTGCCAGTTCACTTCAATTAGTTGCAATTTAAGTAAAACTTGCACTGACACCAACAGGATCCTAGCCAGTATAGTTTAGAGCAAAAGAACTGTTCAAGCAACAGTTTCTGGATTCCTGTAATAGGAAAACAGTACTACCAAGGAGAAACCAACCTACCAACCAGTCAGTCAACCAACCAAATAACTAACCAAACAAACAAACAATTAAGGTCAATGAAGTAATGATAATATTTTTACAGTGAAATTCTATAATTATAATTCTGTAATTCAGATGTAACTACTTTTTCATTATGTGCTGGATTCCCAGTACAACTGGGGGTATTATTTCCCTGGGATGGAGAAGGAAAGTTTGGAGAGAATACAGTATATATAAGATGTTTTATAGGTGGCATATGACTCTACAAAAGCTATCAAAGATTTATACAGATGTATCAAATGTTTATTGGAAGTGTGAAGCACATGAGGGAAATTTTTATCATTTGTGGTGGACTTGTAGAGTAGCAAAGCAATTTTGAATGGGTGTATATACTTTGTTACAAAAAATATTGCTTTGTAAGGTTCCACTAACCCCAGAACTGCTTCTATTAAGTATTATTGTTGTTGTTTAGTTGTTTAGTTGTCTCCGACTCTTCGTGACCCCATAGACCAGAGCATGCCAGGCCCTCCTGTCCACTGCCTCCCGGAGTTGGGTCAAATTCATGTTGATAGCTTCGGTGACACTGTCCAACCATCTCGTCCTCTGTCGTCCCCTTCTCCTCTTGCCTTCACACTTTCCCAACATCAGGGTCTTTCCA